TATATATTATAAGCATATATAGAGAGGGTAAATGTGGCCAATATTCAAAACTGGTAAATGTGGATAAAAGCTCTACTGGAGTTCTTTTGTACAATTCTTACACCTTTTTTTTTTATAAGTTTGAAATTATTTCCAAATAGAAAGTTTTCTTACAAAAGAGTAAGCCAGTCTTTCAATTTTCTTTCAACCCTCATGATTATGTCAAAGAGAAAGTATCAGTTTGGGATTAATATATCTTTAAGACTTTTCTAACACTTGCTAATCTCCCTTTTTAATAAAGAGAGCACAGGCCTCTGGCTCAGTCTTTGGCAAGCAACAGTTACCAGCTAGAATTTAATACCTCAGTTTTGTTTTCATTGTATTTACTTTCTATTTGTGGGAAGTGGGGTAGCTGTCCTTGCGTGGTAAGATATACAATTACCTTTTAAATAGATTTATATAATTAGAAATGAGTTAATATATAGAAATATTTGTGTTTAATTTTAATGTAAAGTTACTAAATATTAATATAAAAGTGCAGGTAGGGCTTCCCTGGTGGCGCAGTGGTTGAGAGTCCGCCTGCCGATGCAGGGGACACGGGTTCGTGCCCTGGTCCGCAAAGATCCCGCATGCTGCGGAGCGGCTGGGCCCGTGAGCCACGGCCGCTGAGCCTGCGCGTCCGGAGCCTGTGCTCCTCAACGGGAGAGGCCACAACAGTGAGAGGCCCACGTACCGCAAAAAAAAAAAAAAAAAAAGTCCTATCTTTACCCTCCAAATGCTACCTGCATTTTTTTTGCTGAGCTGTGTTTCTTATTGTAGAGCTGGTCTTGGCACTCCTGTGTCATGAGTCACACTGCAATGGGTGGTGGAATGGGCAATGGCCAGGAGGGCTCCCTCGTCTGCGTACCTGCCCCACCATCATCACTAGGGACTGTGTCATTGTAGAGCAGCCACCCAACGTTCATAGTTCCAGTTTCCCTTCCTGTAAGATGAAGCCATTACAATAGACCCAGAATAGACCAAGAATAGAAACATTAGTGCGTACTAAATGTCAGGTAATTTGTGATTAAACGTCCTATCTTGGGCTTCCCTGGTGGCGCAGTGGTTAAGAATCCGCCTGCCAATGCAGGGGACACAGGTTCAAGCCTTGGTCCAGGAAGATCCCACATGCCGCAGAAAAACTAAGCCCGAGTGCCACAACTACTGAGCCTGCACTCTAGAGCCCGCGTGCTGCAACTACTGAGCCCCTGAGCCACAACTACTGAAGCCCGTGCACCTAGAGGCTGTGCTCCGCAACAAGAGAAGCCACCGCAGTGAGAAGCCCGCACACCACAATGAAGCGTAGTCCCCGCTCGCCGCAACTAGAGAAAGCCCGCGCGCAGCAACAAAGACCCAACGCAGCCAAAAATAAATAAATAAATAAATAAATTTTAAAAAGGAAAAGAAAGAAATAGTTGAGGGAAGCAAAGCTGGGTGTTCCCATGTCCTGAGGCCCCAGCCCTGTCCCCAGCTCTCACACTCAAAATTCCTGGAGCTGACAGTTAAAATACTTCCTTTTTTTTCTCATGTTTTTACTCTCACACAATGCTATTTTCCATAAATCTGTAGGTGGGTTTTAGTTGCCCTTTGGTGAAAAAGCAGAGCTACTGGGGTTGAGTCAATGTGTATGTATGATCTAGTCCCTCTGCTGCTGTCATCATGGAATTCAACCTCAGGAGCAAGAGGAGAATTCCCTCTGCTTACAGGGGTCCCAGAGGAAGGCGTGGGACAGCTTCCTTGGTCTCATCCCAGGCTTGACCGCTCTGACTAGCCTCCCTCACGCCACCTGAATCCACCTGGGCACGAGTGTGTGTGTGCCTCTTCTGTTCCTTCCTCCATTGACAGCAAATGTCCTCCAGTCTTTGTAAAATAATCTTCATGTGTTTGAAGGTGATCACTAACCTCCTCAAGTATCTCTCCTCAAAGTGAATGTACCCACTTTTTCCATTCCATGCATAAAATAACACTTTCCAATCTATTCATCACCCTCCGAGCTTTTGTGTTGTTTTTTTCCTGTCACTCTAAAGCTGTGGAATCCAGAATACGGTATCTTGAGGGTATGTGCAGTCAGTGCAAAAATGCTCAACATTCCTGCTTCCTTGGGAGGACTGACCCTCCTCTAGTCTGCAGGTCCCTCTGGACTCTCCAGGCCTGAGCAAATCTGTTCTGGGGGCTTTGGTTGTTCAAGTTCCATCCACGCAGCATTTTAAGTAAGAGGTAGTGTAGGAGGGTCCTCAGAGATACAGCCTATAACTCCATAAGTGGGGAGTCCAGTTTAGTACCAGGTCCCTACTAAAAAGTTGACAAGTCCTAATGCTTCCCTAGGGAATCAAATTAAAGTAAAATCAAGCATTCAGGTCATTCTGGAACTTGACAAACTCCTACCAAAGTAGCCTATTTATGGGAGGCTATTACGCAAAATGATATTAGGGACATTAAAAAAATCACAAAGATGCCTCTCTCCCCAGCACTAGGGGAGAAATTCTACAATTACTGAACACGTATGAGCTTCTTTTTTTTTTTTTAACATCTTTATTGGAGTATAATTGCTTTACAATGGTGTGTTAGTTTCTGCTGTATAACAAAGTGAACCAGCTATACGTATACATATATCCCCATATCTCCTCCCTCTTGCGTCTCCCTCCCACCCTCCAAATCCCACCCCTCTCGGTGGTCACAAAGCACCGAGCTGATCTCCCTGTGCTATGCGGCTGCTTCCCACTAGCTATCTATTTTACATTTGGTAGTGTATATATGTCCATGCCACTCTCTCACTTCGTCCCAGCTTACCCTTCCCTCTCCCTGTGTCCTCAAGTCCATTCTCTATGTCTGTGTCTTTATTCCTGTCCTGCCCCTAGCTTCTTTTAGCAATTCCATGTAAGAATCTTTCCCTGTCCACCTTGCAGGAATGCACTAATATATGGCGATATCCTTTAAAAACTGTAAAAGCAGAGAGAGGAGAGAGGGAGGTGGGGGTAGAGCGAATTTTTACACAATCTGTGTCTGAGGCCATCTCAGAACTGTCCCAGCCCCTGGCTGTCATGAGGCAAGTTCAGGGACCCAAGCACCCACCTAGCAGGGTTAAAGATTCAGCCCCAGGACTTCCCTGCGGTCCAGTGGTTAGGAATATGCCTTCCAATGCAGGGGACATGAGTTTGATCCCTGGTCAGGGAACTAAGATCCCACATGCTTCAGGGCAACTAAGCCTGTGCGCTGCAACTAGAGCCTGTGCACTGCAACAAAAATCCCACATGCTGCAATGAAGATCCCGTGTGCTGCAACTAAGACCCGACACAGCCAAATAAATAAATAAATATTAAATACATATTTAAAAATAAATAAAATAAACTCAGAGTTAATTTAAAAATAAATAACAGGGAAAAAGAGAGGGGTTTAAAAAAAAAAGATTCAGCCCCAAAGTTCCCAGACTCCCTCAGGGTTGAAGGGGGGTTGTCAAATGGCTGCATATTAGACAGTCTACCCAAAAGGCAGGAAAAATATCTTTTAAACAGAGTTTTATGCTTGTCATTGGAGGCCAGTGAGTCTAGACTTCTCACTTTTTGCATGGGGAAACAACCCAGAGGGAGTGACTGGTCCAGGAACGTGCAACAATTAGTGGCAGAACCAGGACTAAAATTGACCTCTCTCTCCTTGGCCATTTTGGCCCTCTTTGAAAATACTAGAGCAGCAAAGCACTAAATAGAATGGGAGAAATTCCTTCGTCTCTCTACCCGGACACTTGCGATAGATGGGGCATGCCAACCACAATTTTCTGGTTCAGCTCAGACGGCAGAGGCAGGATGGGTAAGTGGGAGGTAGGGATGAACCCTGTGTGTGTACATTCCAACTTCTTTCTTTGCATTTTGGTTCCATTTAACACCGTGTTACCTCTCCACAGAGTAGTTTATATCATTGCAGGATGCCAAGAATGACATCAACATCTATTAAAACCTAATGTTTCACATTCTCAACTGTAAACATTAACATTGCTTAGTTTCCAGATATAAACTCACAGTCATTCTGAAGTTGGATGGTTTCTTTCCAAGAAAGTTGATGTTACTGTAATGAAATTTACCTAATTAATCTCCTTAAGGAGGGAAGGAATCCAATGATGACTGTTAATAAAGACCTCAACGTTCTTCTTGTAATCAGAGCAAAGCAATCTGTGGATTCGTTTTGGGAGAGACCATAACTTTCCAAATAAATCTTAGTAAAGCTCTGCAGACAGGGTTCTTGAGCTATTTCCCCACTTGGCTGGCTTACTTTCAGCTTAACTAGCCCTGTGTAAACTTCTATAGGACCTCTGGATATACTTATATTCACCTGTGACGTTGGACCCCAACATCTAGGGTATTGTTCTTGGTGCCAAGAGCTCATATGAAAGGTAAATTTGAACCAGTCATTGATGGAAACTCTTGGTTTGCCAGACTTCAAAGCCATCCCCTACCTGGGGCGTCATCTGCGTACCGTGTGCCTGGACCCACCTCTTGATACCTGCACAATGTTCTGGCTGCACCAAGCAGTGAATATGAACAGCAGCCGTCAGCCTCCGCCAGGGTCTTCCCTGGACCCCGATGGAGCCATCTACATATACGTAATCACAAATCTCTCCTTTCCGGGCTTCCCTGGTGGTCCAGTGGTTAAGACTCCGCGCTCCCAATGCAGGGGGCCTGGGTTCAATCCTTGGTCAGGGAACTAGATCCTGTATGCCGCAACTAAGAGCTCACATGCAGTAACTAAAAATTTCACATGCCACAACTAAAGGTCCAGCATGCCGCAGCGAAGATCCCGTGTGCCACAAAGAAGACCCGGTGCAGCACACGGTGTCACACCAGGGTATAGGAAGCCACAGTGGGGAGTAAGGAGAACATTCCCTGGTCTCCCGGTCCTGAGTTCAAGAGGGCTGCAGAAGTGGCACCCACAGGAAAGAATCTTCTGAGAGACAGCCACTGTGAAGATGTTGAGGGAATGGGGGTGTTTATGAACCCTGGGACCTGGGGGTCTAACAGGTATGAAGGGAATCACTGGGTTGGAATCTTGGGATGTTAGGTCAGAGCAGTATGGATGGGTGTGATGGTATGGAAGGGTTTGGAAGGTTATAGAAAAAGCTTAGGAATGTGGCAGGAATCCAGTTTTTAAAATTGGGACAGCTGGTCATGGAGAGAAAAACAGCCAAGGGTAACTTGATCCTCAGCACCCGAATACGGAGCTGGATCTGTTTAAGTCCTTGCTGATTCAGGACCTGACCGGACTGGGAAGCGAGGTGGGGCTGGGTTTACAGGTGGCAGGTGGGACAAAGGGTGTCAAGGCAGGTAACCTACCAGGCCTGACACTATCTCGGCAAAGAAGGCCATAGAGAGCCTCAGAAGGCTGGTGACCTGAGAAGAGTTTTGAAGAACAGAATCTCTCCACCACTCCCCACCCCATCCAGGGAAAAATATTGTGTAGGTCTTGCTATGGTAACATCCTGGAGTAATTCATCCTATGGCAGTCATCCTATGCTCTCTGCAGCCTCCACTATCCTTGTGAGGGCCCTGAAATCTGGGACTGGGCTCAGCCTTTATGTAATTTCTGGTCTCATCATTTGTGTCCCAAGTGGGATTGTAAGCTCCGTGAGGGGAGGGAACAGATCTATTTCCATAGATCAAGTTCCAGCACAGTGCTTGTACTCAGTAGGTATTTAGCGAAAGAATGACTAACTCTGGCAGATGACATTATTATGCTCAAGTATTCAATTCCTCCTTCCTGAGAGCACAACCCTTTGGGATTGGCCATGTGACTTGCTTTGTCCAACAAAATTCAAGTGGGCGTGACGCACGCCATTTCCGAGGAGCGGACTGAAGGGAGAGTGCACGGCTTAGCTCAGCCTCTTGTGCTTCTGTTCTCTGTCACAGGGCTGCGGGTTGCAGGTAGGGGTTGCTCCTGCAGCCCGAGTCCCAGAACAGGAAGATGCTAGAAGCCATCCTATAGTCAGCCCACAGCCTAGTGCAGAGCTGTGGCCATTCCACAGCACGATGGAGAAGTCAATGTTTGTAAGCCACCGAGTCTGGGAGTTGCTGCCATGACAAAAGCCCTGAGGTTGGGGGAATAAAGTATCTCCTGTTTAATTTCTCCCGAGTGCTGTCACAGCTGCCTTCAATTCCTCCATCTTGCCAAAGCTGAGAGCAGATGGCAAACCCACCTGCCTTGCCCCCCATACCATCAAGCGAGCAGGCTTTCTGCTGTCCTCTCCAAAAGCACACAAGTTTCCACCGTCCCAGAGAAACCTAATGGTTAACTGTCAAGGCCGCCTACCATGAAAAGTGGCCTGAAAGCAAGTTTACATATCATATTTTAAACATTTACACAGTTTTAAAATAAATACAAGACTGAAGCCGGCTCCAGCCCCCTCCCTGTCTTCACCTGCCAGTGAAGCATGTTCTCTTCCAGTTCTTCAAAAAGCCAGAGTGGTACTCAGGGGCTGGAGGTGGAGCGTTGTCTGCAAGTGATGGGATTGAAAGCTCAGGGTCTTCTCCCTCTGCACCAGTCTTCGAGTTATCTTGGGAAGAACTTGGAATATAAAATGTACACAGACTTTGCACGGAAGGAAAGGCAGACCCAAAGAAATCCTGGAGACACCGTACTCTTCTCAGTTCTCTTATTACTCCCTGGAGCTACCTATCTTGAAGAGAGGTGAAAACAATGCAGACAGAGCTATAAGAAACTAAATAGCTAAACATCTGGAAACTAAACAAAATGGTTCGTATATTTATCAGACCCTGTAATGACATCCACCTTCCTGGTCTCAGCCTCCACCAATGTGCTGATAATTTCAAACTCTACCTTTCCAACCTCGACTTTTCCCACAGGGTGCAGATCCTTAGAGCCACTTGGCTGTCCACAATACTTCAAATGCAATATGTTTGAAATGAAACCTTGGGCATCCCCTTGAGTATGGGCTTCTTTCTCTTCAGTTTCCATGTTGACTGATGGTATCCCATCCACCTCCTTGTCCAAGCCAGAAACTGGGGATCTTGTTGGATCCTTTTCTCTCCCTCAGCCCCTGAATTCATCTCATTATCAAGTCCTAGGGTTCTACCCCAAATCTTTCGTGGGAGAAAGCTGGCTATAAATAATTCATACCTCCATATATAAATAAAGGCCCTACTTACATTATCTCTGAAATGTCCCTAAAACTCCTTTCCCCTATCCTACTGTTAAGGAGGAAGAAAACTTTCCTCTACCCTTCTAGGTTCTTCTGGTTGGTATAAGACTTAAATCGACATGAGACAGAGTAACGGGAGAAAATTAGATTTAATTTTGCACATGCAGAAACCCCACACACATGAGAGGGTGAGAGACAGAAAGGTAAAATGAGGTCTATATGCCATCCCAAGTGAGAAATGGTATAGGAGCCTGGGGCTTCCAAGGAAAGAAGGTCCCTCACAGGACGATAAGAGGAAGAGCAGATGCTTGCCATCTAGATATTTGCCCTGCCATACAGATGGGACCACTCGGATAAAATTTGTCTCCGGTAATAACTCTTGGCTGGGAAAAATCCCCAATTTAAATTCTTGTAGGTAGTTAGGGGAGGGGCAGTAGTTTCTCTTGAACCCACAGGGTCTCGATTGCCTTTAGTTCAAAATAATCCTCATGCAAGAGTGATACATTTGGGGGAGGCTCGTTCTGAACCCCATATCACTCATGGTCCCTCACCCTAATTGTCTCAGTTCATCTCAACTCCTGCAAAGATCTCCTAACTGGTCTCTACCTCCAATCTGGCTGGCTGCTGCCCCCCTGACCTGCAGTCTATCCTTCAGACCAGAGGCCCCTTCCTAAAACACAAATCTAATGGTATCATTCCCTTCCTGGAAAGCTCACTGTGGCTTTCCATCGGCTAGAGAATAAAGCTCCACGTTTGACTGGCCCATGGAGAACTTTGTGACCGGCCTCCGGGTATTTTCCAGGCTCATTTCTTACAGTGTCCAAGCTCTGAGCATTGGGGACACGCTGTGTTCTTTCTTCCTGGGGACGCTGTGTTTACCCAGAGGACCCCTGCTTATCGTTTATGCCTCCGCCCACGAATCCTGTCCTCTGCAAAGGTTGTCCTACTGCTCCCACCCCTCAAAGGCTTGGGCGGCGCCCCTTCTCCCCCAACTGTCTGAAGCTCTGCTACAGTCACAACTGGATTGCTTCTCGTGTTGTGTTCACACGTCTGCCTCTCGTATCAAGCTGTGAGTGATGTGAAGGTGGCACACTCGCCTGAGTTATCGCTCTAAACTCAGGGCCAGGCACGCTGCATACATTCTGTCACCATCACAGAATAAATGGAGGAATGAATGTAGGAGTAAATTCTCTAGTCATAGCCTAAGTGTCCTTATGCGGATAAATGACTTAGCATATTAATTTTCCTATCTGAAACTGAAAGTCAGAATGAGAATCAACAAGTCAGGGCTTTTGCTTTTTTGAAGCAATGTTCCGAATAGAAGGACAAAACATTATGCTATTGCAGCATGATTTCTAGAAGGACGATGGCATTTGTTGTAGGATCAGAACGTAACAAATACACTGAGAATACAGATACGCTGACACATAGCATTGATGTCCCAGGGCAGTAATGTTAAAGGGGACATAATAGGGAGCAAGAGGTTTAGAACCTAAGCTTGTTCCTTTGTCATGAGAAAGCATAAAAGCTTATTTGGCAGGGCTCCCCAGACTTCTCTTTTGTGAGGAGTATCGTTCCTAAGAGCATGAACTTTGGAGCCCAAACTCTCAAGCTTTGAGTCTCAGCTCCAGCACTTATTAGCTCTGTGACTTTAGGTGAGTAACTTAAACTCTCCGTGCCTCGATTTTCCTGTCTGTAAAATTAGTATGTTAATAGCACCTACCTCGGGACTTCCCTGGTGGCGCGGTGGTTAAGAATCTGCCTGCCGATGCAGGGGACACGGGTTCGAGCCCTGGTGGGGAAGATCCCACATGCTGCGGAGCAACTAACCCCGTGCGCCACAACTACTGAGCCTGCGCTCTAGAGCCCACGAGCCACAACTACTGAGCCCACGTGCCACAACTACTGAAGCCCGCGTGCCTAGGGCCTGTGCTCCGCAACAAAGAGAAGCCCTGGCACCGCGCACCGCACAGAGAGTAGCCCCCTGCTCGCCGCAACTAGAGCAGCAACAAAGACCCAACGCAGTCATAAATAAATAAATAAATGTGTAAAAAAGAAAAAAAAATAGCACCTACCTCATAAGTTACTATAAGGATTAATGGAATTAATGCAGATAAAGTACTTACTACTTGGGATAACACAAGAGCTAGTTAAGACATATATTTTCCCCAAAATGTTAGGATGCATTTTCAAAGTATCAGAGATGGTTAGATCCTCTTTCTATGGCATTTCTGCTACATAATCAAGGATTTTAGGTATTTTTATCATTCTTCATCATTAATTATTGTCCACAGTTTTACAAAATCCACACAATTTTCACAACGGCTATATGAAGATTTAGAGAAATAGAGCCAAGATATAGAACTTCAAGGAGTTTATCCCCAGCTCCCTTTCTTAATAACCAGCCTCCAACTTTTGTTCAAGAGGGATCAAGCCCAGAACAGTGCGTGCAGGACACCCAGAGGCTCACCACGATGTGTGTGCCAGTGTCACTGTGCCATCTAGTGGACTCAGAGTTTAGCCGCTGTTTTGAAGCCCTCCCAGAAGAGCTGGATTCCAGGGAAGGGTTTAGCCATAACTGCTCTGGTCCGTCTGGCCAGCTTCCAGGTGATCTCATAACACCACTCCCTTGATGTGCACCATCAGTGCTAATCATGTGGGACGTCCGGAATCCCTCTTCTAAGGTGACAGCTCTACCAATGCATTCAGCTTGTCCATCCCCCGTCACAACCATCTTTGCAGAAGTGGGCAGAGAAGAAAGGAATGAAAACGGACAGTACAGTATTTATAACTGCGAGAAAGAAGCCAGCCAACATTCACCTATGTTTTAATAAGGATCTACCAAACAAGCCAGAAAGCAAGACATGCCAATGCTTAGTAACTTTTTGACCTTCATTTCTGGCTTCAGTGCATCTTGGCACAAGGCAGCCTGGGGCTGACAAGGGCTGAGCCAACTAAGGCCTGAATCTCAATTTATTGAAGTGTTTTTAGAGGCGGCCAACTGCTCTCTGCAGGTGATTAAAAGCTTATCCCCAGAAGGCCAGTAAACACTCCCCCACCAATAACTCAGCTCTGGCGTGCAGGGCAAGGGGTATTGAACACCATAATGGGAGAGAATAGCCACATAAAAACCCAATTAAAGGCAAGGTTTGCCTTTGAGGGGCACTTGGAGGCCCATAATCCACCTCGTCTTTATGTTCTATTCAGAGTTCTTGGCCACCATGACCCGGCGGACCGATATTAAACTTGAAAGGCAATGGGTTTGATATCAGCAACTAACTGAAATCACTTGCTTGGGCCTCAGTTCAACACATTCTGGCCACAGACATGGCAACGGGTGGGTGTGGCTGTGCCTTGTCCAGAATGCAGGTACTCTGGGCGTTCCGTGCATTTCATGGTCCTTCAAAATTTTAATACTATCGTGAGAAAGAAGAAAGTCTCTGGGACACTATTTATCCCAGAAAAAAGGAGAGGATTTAAATAGGAAAAATCTAAAAATATTTCAAAAGAAAAGTTTCAAAGAAAAGGGAGTATGTAGTGAGACATATAGCACAAGGAAAAGTCTGGACTTGTAGGCAGAGTCCCGTTTTCCCCCTTTTTGGCTAGTCCCCAGGTTTAAACATTGTTCTTTTTTTAAAATTTTTCTTTATTTATTTATTTTTGGCTGCACTGGGTCTTTGTTGCTGTGCGCGGGTTTTCTCTACTTGCGAAGCTGGGGCTACTCTTTGTTGCGGTTCACGGGCTTCTCATCGCGGTGGCTTCTCGTTGCAGAGCACGGGCTCTAGGCACGCGGGCTTCAGTAGTTGTGGCACGCAGGCTCAGTAGTTGTGGCTCGCGGGCTCTAGAGTGCAGGCTCAGTAGTTGTGGTGCACGGGCTTAGCTGCTCCGCAGCATGTGGGATCTTCCCAGACCAGGGCACGAACCCGTGTCCCCTGCATTGGCAGGCGGACTCTTAACCACTGTGCCACCAGGGAAATCCTAAAGCTTGTTCTTCTTAAAGGCCAGTTAGAGAAAATAAACTGAGTCAAGGCACCATTTCTTAAAAATGCCAAAGAGAAGCAGCTACTGGACGATGTCGTTCATGCTGCAGAAGTTGAGAGGAGGGAGCAAAGTCTTGTCCCATGCCTGATGACTAGCTGTCCTGAGCAGGCAAGGTCCGTTTAGGCTCTGCTGGGTGGCCCTATGTGGACACTTGTCCTTGAGCGTCTAGAACCCAGAGAGTAGGACCTCAGTCCACAAACCCCAACCCCCAAGCCTTCAATCTACCCAACAAACAATGCACGTCCTAGAGAGGTCAAGGTCCCTCAGCTAGTGAGTGGCAGAGTTGGGATTCAAGGTTCCAAAGCACATGTTCTTAACTTCATTTCATTGCTTTTGCAATAGGAACCTGTTTTGGAGGAAATTCATTCATTCATTCATTCAAAAAATTTTTGAGCTCCCATAAAATGGGAGGATATCATGGTGAATAAAATATAGCTCCTGCCCCCCAGTAGGTCTGTCATTCAGCAGAGAA